TGGTGTCGACGTGTTTTTTTATTGTTAACCCTCACAAAACATGGTTAATTAAACAGCGGAGTGTTCGAAGAACTCAAGATGTGAACGGTTGAAGAGTAGAAGAACCCTAATTATCCATTTATCCTATATACTCGTATCAAATATCTATCATAACCAGTTATTAAACCTACAAGTTTGTGTGAAGCGTGCAGGCACGAATTTCGGCCGTTTTTACATAAGCTATGGGAAGGCATAATACTAGAATTTCACGAGATATCAGGAAGCAAAAATAAGCCAAAGCAAATAAATTTGATAGGAGAAAATGAATCACAAATATCAATATCAATTCATAAGCAAACGACAGTCCTTGGAATGTGACTCCAAATGTGGACCGTCAAGAACATGTATTAGACATTGCCGTTACTGTTCAAGACTGGCAACTCTTCACTGCTCAATTTACTCCGCAACAAAGGTAGGTATAAGTGAACAGTGTTAGATCAGCTCGAAGTTTTCCTTTTATTTTCTGCGAAACTAAGAAGACTTTATTATGTCTTCATAGTATTTTGTCATTCAGCTGGGCCCAGGATTAGGAATAATTATTTTGTAGGATATTAATGCACAATTAAATTGATCAAAACTACGAAGATAATTCGATAATAATTATTCTTTGTGCGATTAAATCACTTCGGGTTTATTTTCTTTGAAGTTTACGCAGTATTTGGCAGATCGTGGATTATTTTAATCCTATTTATTTTGTGAAATATTCATTATTTATTGTATGCATGCAATTGATCTGCTTATTGTTACCTAAATTGTTGAGCCTTTAATTACATTTTATCTTGTATTCGCGCAAGTTATTCAGATGAAGTGAAGAACAACTTGGCATTATATATCATTAGCCTGTAAGTATTCCCAACTTTCGCCATAACTATTACATATGTGAGTTTTTTTTAAATGTCGACATTAGGGCCAAGTTCGGTTTTAGTTTCGGTTGAAATTTATTTTATTAAGCCAAATTAATTTTATTACAATTTTGAAAAAGAATTTCATTTCACCTTCCCTTATTGTGCGTATAGAATTTTGTGATGGCGGATCCTAAAGTTATTATTCGGTATTAAAATAAAAATTAAATACCGTAATAGTCCGTTCGCGTGAATTGCATGCGATTTTTACACGTTCTTGCTCGTAAAACCTTTTACATGGCGGCTACTTTATAACCCATATGTAAAGTTTTACACGTTCTTGCTCGTAAAACCTTTTACATGGCGGCTACTTTATAACCCATATGTAAATTTTTACACGTTCTTGCTCGTAAAACGTTTTACATGGCGGCTACTTTATAACCCATATGTAAATCGCTGCACCTGACTGCTGATCTCAGCTGCAACTGAGGTGAAGTCGTGATGTAGACAGATGGTATATGGGAAGTTGAAAAGGATTATTAACAGTTTTTGTGGGGTTCCACGTAGTGGAATGTAGAACAGCAGTCTTGTTCGGGGCCACGTTTTTGGGGACTCCTTAGAAGAGTAAACTTTGGCCGATTGGCCCAAACCGATTATTGAGACTGTCGAGTAAGGAAGGCATCGTTGCATGGTCGTGAATAACACTTAGAGCTCCAAACAACCGGCGAAAAGGTCAGTGTACTAAATGAGACACGATCCCTTTTATTGTTTTAGGTGGTAGGTAACTTGGAAGATAAAGCCTATCATTCATAGTCTAGCAGAAACTAATGAACCGAAGCGTCAGCCAATATCCTAATGATTCAAAGCGTCAGCCAATAGTCCCCATCCATCTGTTCTCCGAGACCACTTGAGGCCCTGATTGCGCGATTGACCATTGAAAGGAACTGTCGCAGTGCAACTGTTATCCAGCCTTCAGAGTTTTACCTATCAAGCCCAAGAGGTTAACGAACCAAAACGTAGCCCCATCCGTTCTTGTACACACTTGTCTCCATCCCGTCTGGGTTGATTTAATCACGAAGAATTTAAGAACAGTGAATCATTTTCAAGTAAATGGTCAACTATACCACCATGACACGGGAGCGTTTAGTAGGCCGTAGGCCTGTCGCCGATTCCTAAAACCGCAGAACATTCACAGCATTTTGTGGTCTCGAACTCGCAACTCCCTGCTACCGTTCTGCTGTGCTTTAACCGCCCGGCCTCCTTGCCGATCCTGACCTGAAACTGGCGCACAGAGCTGGGATCGAACCCGCGCGTCTCTGCGCCAGTCTTGGTACTCTGAACTTTAACCACTGGACCACCCTGCCCAGTGTGAATTTGATGTGTGAATTTCTTGGGACAAAGTCTGCGTATGCCGTATTGATTGAGTAAGTGGTTAGTGAGATGACTGGGTAATGTAGCGGTTTCGTTCATAATTTTGAATTATTGTAATAAACATATTTAGAAATTTAGAATTAAATTTAATTGTAATATTAAGATTTGTTTATATCTGAACTTAACCACAATGAATACGACAATAGCCAACTTGATTCCAGCTGTTAGTATTTTTGATACATTGCACTGGAACCTCTTATTAGAGTAAGTACTTAATTAAGTGTTGCAACAGTCATCTTGTACTAATTACTCTCTTTAATAGCTAATTTGATTTATACTAATTATAATCGTTTTCTATGTATTGTATTTATGTAACATGTAACAATCTGTTATTGATACAGGGTTCTATACTGAGACCTGAAAAACGTCTATTATTTCCCTTAAACCGAACTTTAGATGCTTTGGTAAAACAGCAATAAACAAATAAATATGACAGCCCAGTATTATTGGCTGTAAGGTGTTAAGGTGAGGAATGTAATATAGGTTCTTCAATTGCCGTAAGTGATGTCCATAAGAGAGGGTTTTCAGAGTGCGAATATACGTGTAAGGACAACGAGGTGGGCACTATTCTGTTGTAGAGCAAATGCAAATTTTGTTAAAGTTAACAAACCGCTGGAATGGAATTAAAGGCAATAGTGAGTCTTAGGTGTTTGGGCTCAGAAAAACAATGAAAAACACCCAAGGAAGGTGACTGCCATAGGTGAAAGAACGACTGGTGGTGATGATAGTGATGTCGGAAGAAAAAGGCTAGGCCAGCGCTCCTCTATTTGTAGGGAAGCCCGACCGGAGGGGACTGACGAGGTAAGTGGTACTGTCTAAAACGATACTAGTACGTCTAGAAGGACGTGTAGTAGAACGTGACCGTTCATGACGAGAAAAGCCGTTTTATGGCGGCCACCTGAAATTACCGCATTTGTCTCGTCTGTCGCCCTTCCTGACGTCTGTCGCCCTGCCTGACGTCTGTCGCCCTGCCTGACGACTGTCGCTGTCTGACGTCTGTCGCCCTGCCTGACGTCTGTCGCTCTGCCTGACGTCTGTCGCCCTGCCTGACGACTGTCGCTGTCTGACGTCTGTCGCCCTGCCTGACGTCTGTCGCCCTGCCTTACGTCTGTCGCCCTGCCTGACGTCTGTCGCCCTGCCTGACGTCTGTCGCCCTGCCTGACGTCTGTCGCCCTACCGGGACGAGCACGGGACAAACCTGAGGATTGACGTGCGCACTTGGTCAGAGGTGAGCTGTGTGACTTGTCACACTTGAAAGCTTGTGATAGGAGGGTGCGTGCTGATATCTGATAAATCCAGGAAGTACCTGACATCCGCAAGGACTATTACCATTACTATATAACTATGACTATTACTATGTAACTGTAACAATAACATTACTATACCAAATTCTGTAACTATATGGCTTTAGCTATATAACTAATACTATAAATATTACTTTAAATCCATAATTGAAACTAAAGGTGAAACCTCTGTCGTATTCCCTCAGCTTCCCGATCTTCGGACTGCACGGGCGCTACACGGACCTCATTCGGGAGGGGGCCATAATACAGTTTTCAATATTTGTGTGCCAGTTCTTGTTCCGTATTAGATATTTTTTTGTATTTTCGATTATTCGACTTATATTTTTTCTTGGCCCTTCACGTTTTCTTTAAGTGCCTCGATATTTATTGGTTATTATTCTTTCATTGCAGAAAAAGAGACCATTGAAAATCAGAAATCTTATTTTCTCCACTAGGTGATGGAGAGCCGCTTGATTGGTTAAAGAGATGGTGAGTTGTGGGAGAGGGTAACGGAGGAATGGATTGTGACAATGATGGACGTTTTGGCTTGAGTGACCGCTGATATAATTGAGCTTGGAAGGAGATATAGGGCAACTTTTCGAGACCGGAAAAAGATTAAAAATCTATCGAGAGGGGATTGCAGCGCTTTTATAAAAAAAAAAGAGTTTTATTCCATATTACCGATGCACTGCAGAAGTAATAGAACATCAATATTAAAATAAAGTAGCGAATATTAGTATAGTAGTATATAGTATAGTGCTGTCAGCGTTGACTAGGCCATTAGACGTGACACCGATTCTTAACTTAGCAGAATATTCACAGCTTATTGCGGATCTCGAACACGCAACTCACAGCTTCAATTTTGCATCGCTTAACCGCCCGAATCCTCGGCGATTTAACCAAAACTGCCGCAGGAAACTGGGATCGAACTCATAATTCACTGTTCCAATCTTGGTACTCCGAACTGTTAGCATTGGGCTGCCTTTTAATTAGTTCAGCTACCATTCCGATATACTAATTAAATAGGTATCGGCTTTGTTAATAAACTGTCTTTAGCCGTTCATAATCATTTAATATCCCGCTTGGCCTTAAAGCATTTCTCAAATAGCCTATTGGGGGCTGGCACTAAGTGCGTCCGGACTTATATGGTCGTGACGAGTTGACCAATCCTTCCTTTGGAGAGGATGTGACTGGTATCTTTGATACGTGATTCTAGTTAATCCCAAATATTAAAATCACCTAATCTATTGGTGCCCATAATTCAAATTTCGTCTTTGCATCAATCTGAATATGCTATCTAAATAGCCTAGTTCAAATATCAGTAGGTATAAACTTCCGAGGAAATATTTTCGTTGATGATATTGGTATAACTTCTCATTATAAGGATAAAAAATTTATTGTTGAAGAAACACCACCAAATTTAATGAAGAAATAAGAAAATATAGTGTACCAAAAAAATCCCAAAAATCCCCCAAATATCCCGTGAAATCCAAAGGAGTACGGGCGAGTTCAGTCAGTCTTGTTCCGAGTCAGTAGGTTTCCTTGCATTGAGTGAGCTGATCAGGGCCCGAAATTCCCGACACACCTCGCGAACCGAAGAAACTGCCAAATAGAACATACGTCATGAGCTTATAGCGTCATGCAGGTTATAAGCTGGCTTAATTTCCAGGAATCATGATCTATTAAACTGCTTAATTTAATTATCTTTTTGTGGTAGCTAATTTCTATATTTTTAAAACTATGTGTAACATTTATAACAAAAAAATTTTTGCACGAGTTTACTTGGAGAATAAATACACATTTTTCATGACTCACGAACAAATATTGCATGGTGGAGCTCTTGCATTTCTGGTAAGCTTGTGCGAAGTTGGCGTCATTGCTGCATTTGTTCTTCACATTAATCGTCAGGAAGGCCCCATCGTCCAATGTATTGTCAGGCTTCAGCTGTTGAGGAAAGGAGGCTTTGAAAATAGCTAGTATAATAAAAAGAAAATGAGTAGCAGATATATAGATGTTTATTTTGGGGGGATGGGATAAGAGGGGAGTTTACCCCTGAGACTTTCAAGAGACAGCTGGATAAGTTTCTGAAGAAGATCTCGGATTTTCCAGCAATGGGAAACTACCCTCAGCAAGTGACAAGCAACAGCATCTTGCATCAGCTGGCCCAAAGGAGGGCAAATAGACGGAACACGTCCAACGTTACATCCGGGTCACGTGGGCGGGGTGAACTGCCTAGCGACGACTAGGAGACGGAGGACGACAAAGGCGGAGCATCAGCTTTATCAAGGACCGAGAACTCAAAAATTCATCATATGGTTATAAGGAGGGAATTACTTGTTATTGCAAAAATATATAATCGGGCGGCATTACAAGAAAAAAAAAAGAATAAATATTTAGCGTGATGAAAATTGAGAAATTTAGGACTACATATTCCCTAGAACTGGAAACTTTGAAACATATTTACTCATCATTCACACTAGAAAATTTATTCTGTCTATAGTAATGCTTAATAAAATAAGTACCATGTTTAATATCCCCTTTCAATTCACTGACAATGCTTAAGAAACGCTACATCTTTCAATTCAGCGGTCAAAACGCGGAATAAAACTCACAGCAGAAATGCATATTGGGTCCAGAACGAGCGTTTTAGCGAAATCGTTCTTGTCTGTGCAGATGCCTAAGTAACTGAACTATGTACTGCACTCAGTGCTCAAGTAACTGCACTATGTACTGCACTCAGTGCTCAAGTAACTGCACTATGTACTGCACTCAGTGCTCAAGTAACTGCACTACATACTGCACTCAGAACTGCACTATGTACTGCACTCAGTGCTCAAGTAACTGCACTATGTACTGCACTCAGTGCTCAAGTAACTGCATTATATGTACTGCACTCAGTGCTCAAGTAACTGTACTATGTACTGCACCCAGTGAGCCAATATACTGAAATACTCACGAGTCCAGCAGATTTCCACGCGCACTTGGCGTAATTGTACAGAATTGGATCACATGTTGCTGTGTCGTACTCGGGACTTCCCCAGGAGCATTTTTCATCTGTTGGGGAGAAAATATACTCTTAGGATTTCGTATTCATATCACATATAAATACACAATGATGAAAATATCACAGGCTGAATCTTAACTAAGATCTTACAAGGCAAAACTGTCGAACACAAAACATCATTAAGTTCAAAATTGAGAACGAGAAATCGATGCCAATCGATTCGTAATTTGAAGTTTCCAATCAAGGGGTAAAACTTTCCAGAAAAACAAATCTTGAAACATTTTACAGAGTGCAACAACTTTCCAGCAAAACATATCTTGAAACATTTTATAGAGTGCAACAACTTTCCAGCAAAACATGTGTTGAAACATTTTATTGAGTCCAACTGTGTGGCTGCTCGTTTAGGAAACCAAGATTTCAAGTCGAGAAAATCTAATTTTTATTTGTTAATTTCAGTTTACAGCAAGCGTCCATAGAAAAGTAAACACGTTTGAATGATCATCTGCCGATGTATTCTGGAAACAATTTTTAATCATATAGGCTCGCTCAAGATATTTAAAATATTAGGAAAACATCTTTAGTGGTATGCAATATTATCTTTTTAGCATGAGGTGCCATAAAATAATTGAAGATGTAAATTTCGATATGACGTCACCGAACTCCCACGCAGACGAGGTGGTTTGCTTCTCCTGCATTTCAGATATAAATGTTGGTGTAATTTAAATCATTAATTTAGACCCTCAGTTGGCCAATTTGGGTTTAGAATTATGTTAACAGCCAACAGGAACAAATTGATGCAGAATCACTCTATTTATATGCGTACAATTTATGACCAGAGAGTGCATTTGAATTTTCAAGGAGTTGAACAATTCTTAGATGACGTTGGTAGATCAAAAGGCAGATTTAGCAAATAATAATATATTAACGACGTTTCGAATGTAGCAACATTCATTTTCAAGTTAAGAGAAGCATTGAATAGTGAAATTTGGTTGGACACAAGTACATAATACAATTCAAATGCACTCTCTGGTCATAAACTGTACGCATATAATTAAGAAATTTCTGCCATCTTATAATAATCACTCTATTTGTACACTCACTTGCTGTAAACTTGTCTAAATCCGTCTTGTACTGCAGACGGCAACTTTCGACAAGGGTGAGCCCATATAATTTCGACACGTACGCCACGTAGCAAGGGGATGCTGTACCTCTGTAAAGAATTAAAAAATTAACATTTCTGTTTAAACAATTAACAAATGCTTCTCCTTCGAATGTATTCAACGTTTCAAAATTCCTTGAAAACAAGATGTTAAGATACTTCAAAACAACGCCTTGAATACAGCTCTACACCTCCGAATTTTTTCTCTAGGACAACAGAAAATAACGATTTCACTAATAACGTTGCCTTTATCAAGGTTCAGATATTCAAGAGTTACGAAGTAATAAAGAAAAGCAGATTGAATATTGTTCTCGAATGATTAGTTTGCGTGATATTGGAGTAGCAAGATCGTAATCTATTCCTCCAAAACATGGGTCCTAATCTATTCAAATTGTTAATTTCAATCAAATAAAATATAATAAAAATCACTATGTATATGAAAGTAATAATTATATTCACAGATCTTGTCATTATTACATAGTAGATTGGGTTTAAAATCGAAGTATACTTACGCCGCGGACGAGGCTGCGGCAGCTACGATGAGAAGCATCAGAGCTCGCGTCATCTTTTGGCTGTGGTCGTGGCAGCGGTGCGGTGGCAGGTCGTGGCAGCGGTGCGGTGGCAGGTCGTGGCAGCGGTGCGGTGGCAGGTCGTGGCAGCGGTGCGGTGGCAAGCAAATACTACTTGGTCCTGACACATTGTGGGCATGTGGTGGCCATGTTATAGGTTTTGGATTTGTTGGGACAGGTGTTAAGAAATTCATCAGGGGCCGTGATTAATGATGGATTGTGCACACATGCGTGCATAAGCATCATCAATTTTGTTGCCGCTAAATATACAAAGAAAAATTTTAGAGGATAGAATGCTATCTATTCATTTGATTTTGGAAGCTTGAGCTCCGGCATGCCTGTTAATGTTTTTTTTTTTCGATTATTTATTTTCTACGAGCAAAATGTTTTAAAATTCATTTCTTTCTTTAATTTCAAAAATTGAAAATTTTTGAAATTTAAAATTTAATTTCAAAAATTGAAAATTTTTATAAATTTATTATTCAGTAAATGATAATAGTTAAGAACAATATTTATTATCCTAATATAATACCTCATAAAAATAGATTATATAATATATTCTCCTAATCAATTTTTACCTCGCATTTTGTTTCTATGAATTTCATTCAGATGATATTTAATTAGACCAACATAGGCGAATGGTATGTAACGTGCCAAAAATAATTGAAATTAATTAATTTAATGATTCGAAACCAATTTATTTCTTGGTTACACTACAGTTACGGTGCTCTGTACTCAAGTTTTTCTTGCACGACAAGTCACAGATTATTTATATCGCAATGAAGTTATGCATCGGGAATAATTTTTCACGTGGTTTATATGGCAGGCTCATAAGTGCAAGTTATTTAACCTTCCTCATTCAGAAACAGAAGCTGCGATGACAATAGGTAAATTTATAACTCCTTTACTGAAGTTAAGCGCCTAACTAAGAAATTAAAAATAAAACTATTAGAAAATTTATCCACGCTAACGAGTTCTTATTATAATTTGCATCATCATTTGCGCCATCATTTACGTCATCATCCGCATCATCATTTACGTCATCATCCGCATCATCATTTACGTCATCATCCGCATCGTCATTTACGTCATCATCCGCATCATCATTTACGTCATCATCTGCATCATCATTTACGTCATCATCTGCATCATCATTTACGTCATCATCTGCATCATCATTTACGTCATCAACTGCATCATCATTTACGTCATCATTTACGTCGTCAACTGATAATTACATGCGTCGTAATATCAAAGCTCCTACCATCGAATTGTGTATAATTATCCCCTAAACTCGTCTGGTGCACGAATCGTCTAAAATCTAAATCATTTGTCGGACAAAAACTAATAAACATAGACTAAATTTAATTCAATGGGAAATTAATTTGTAACAAATATAGCCTCGATATAAAATAGAACAATTATCTCTCAGTGACCTTCCACAAAGTTTTATCTCAACATTATCGCCACGCATTTCATTCTAGTCGTACAGTAAGAGCGCCTTATATAGGCGAGGCATCAGCGGGAGCGAAAACGAGTCTGCGGGAGCAAAAAATGAATTACAGGAAAACTTTTTCTAATTTCATTCGAATCACAAATTTAGTAAAAACTTAAAAGTAAAGAAAACTGTTCCCGAGCGCGACAATATGAATGTTATTTATTGCTCTCTTGCATACTTCCGCCCTGCATCCGAAACTATGTCAGGGGAGCTGAAACTTTTGTTCTCAAAGTACTTCCCAAACTCTAATCTTCGTGTTTTATTGGTTAACAATTATAAAATTGGTTCTTTATTAGGTACAAAGATACCCTCTCTATGCATATGCGAGTGTAGCAGTTTATAAATATAGTTGTGCACGATGTGCATCTGCGTACGTCGGGATGACGTCTATTAATCTTTATTCTAGGGTCGCAGAACATAGGGGCAGGAGTTGTGGAACTGGTCACTTACCATCGCCCCACCTCATTCAGCTGTGCGTGCTCACGCCGAGCAGTGCATTGTTCCAATTTCTGATAGTGACTTCAAGGTTTCAGCTTCCACTTCCGGTGTTTCCGATTTGCGAATTTTAGCATCATTGTATATTTAAACAGGGGCCTAGTTTAAATTCAACTTTTAGCTCTTACCCGCTTGAAATTGTAAACAGATAAGTGTTAGCGCTTGGCATTTTTGTAATCTTGACTACTATTTACTGATTTGCCTGTATTCTAGAATTTTCGAACTGACGAAGGAGCTGGACTCCGAATCGTTGTCTCTGAAGATATCATGAATTTATGTGGAGTTTTCTTTGCTTTTATTTTTTCTTTTATATAATTGAGGATATAAGTGGAGCAAAAGGACTGTGGATAGAAGTGGAGCAAAGGGACTGGGGATATTAGTGGAACAAAAGAACTGGGGATATAAATGGCGCAAATGGACTGATGTGCTCCGTGTGCCCTCGCAGAGTAACATTCATATTATGAGCCTCAGGCGTGTTGGACTAGGAGCTGCATGCAAGCAAGCACAGGCTTGTTGGTCCAGGTGCTGCAAGCTAACGCAGGCGTGTTGGTCCGAGTGCAGCAAGCAAACGCAGGCTTGTTGGTCCCGGTGCAGCAAGCTAACGCAGGCGTGTTGGTCCCNCTAACTCAGGCGTGTTGGTCCCGGTGCAGCAAGCTAACTCAGGCGCGTTGGTCCAGGTGCTGCAAGCTAACTCAGGCGTGTTGGTCCCGGTGCAGCAAGCTAACTCAGGCGCGTTGGTCCAGGTGCTGCAAGCTAACAAAATGTCAAGAGACGATCAATCATGACGTTTGATAAATGATGTTAATCACATTATATATCAACTGACAGCAGTCGATCAATCATGAGGTTTGATAAATGATGTTAATGACGTGCGCATCTGCTAAGATCATTTGACGAGTTTTCTTAATAAAGAGATGTTTTGTCTCGCAATCATGTTAAAAAACATTACAAGGTTATGGTAACTGGTTTCAAGTGAAGTTGGTTTTGTAAAGAACTTGATAAAATATAACGTTATAAACTTTATTTAATCAAAATCAAGATCAGGATCGGCTTGACTTATTTATTTGAAAGATAGTGTATGATAAATCTAGTTAGATTTTTTGAATTCTCACGACTTCTCACGATTGAATTCTCTCGTGATTTTTGAATTCTCTCGTGAATTCTCACGATGCGTGACTTGACCAAAACAAATTCGTGCATGAAAACTCGCACTAGTTACCGAGGTTAAGATATGAGGAAGTCTCGACATTTGTGCCTCACAACTCTCATCTGAAAGCAGATATCAAAGTGTCACCAACTCATAAGAAAAACATCGAATATATATCAATCTCGCTGAAATCATAGATGATGTAAATAATTGAATCCGATCGTTTGTGCTTTACATTGTTTAGCAATGTTGGTCGGAGTGACATAGAAATAAATTTGAGCGCTTTGATGAATCGCCTGATACGTTGGTCAGATACGGTGGAGCTTCTGCGTGTCGCATACGATGGAGGTTGAAAGATTGGTCATACATGTTGAAGGTTGTGCGTGTGGTCAGATACGTTGAAGGTTGTACGTGTGGTCAGATATTTAGAAGGTTGTGCGTGCGGTCATATACGTAGAATGTTGTGCGGTCATAAACGTTGAAGGTTGGCGAATATTCAGATACGTTGACTGTCATGAGTGTGGTGATATACGTTGTAGGTTGGCGTGTAGTCAGATGCGATAAAGTTTGTGCGAGTGGTTAGGAACGTTGAATGTTATGAGTGTAGTGATATACGTTGAAGGTTGGCGTGTGGCCAGACACTTTATGGCTGCAAGTTTTGTCCAAGCATTGAAGCCTAGTTTTCTTTTGAGATGCACTGAAGGAAATACTTCGGGTCAGTGGCATTGGAGGCTACTCGTTTTTTGGTAATTTATCGTTTTTTTAATAAAATACGATGAAAATTGTTGGGATGTGGGAATCAGCTGCCGCCTAACCCTTTTTCTTCTTTACACGACCATAATTATAGACCAGCTGTGATATGCATGCACCATATATCAATATGCCAGAGAAAAACCATACTAGCTTCACCATACACAATCCACAACGCTGCCAATAGGATATGCACTGGAGCATTCAGAACGACCCCCACCATCAACCTCTATGCAGAGAGCGGACTGAACCCATTTTCAAGCAAACCCATTTCCATACACATCCCATCATTTAACGACTACGGAGTACTCTTTACAGCAGCACAGGTCCAACAGATGCAGGCTGAGCTCGTCACGTTCGAGGTTACTCACGCGTAGCGAATTCTCATCAGCACCTCACACCCGGACCAAAACCTCCCTCTGAAGTCTTCGTTACAGACAGCCGCGATGAAAAACCTTTTCTTGAACCGCGCAACTGCGAAGAATGCAAACTCGACGTATACTTTCACTGACGGCTTAACTTCGAATGGTGCCTTGGAATGTGAGCGGCAACCCACAGAAAAACAATATCAAAATGACTGAATCCCACAGCATAAATTCACATCACGGTCCTTTCTGGTGTCCTTTGTGCCCTAGCCCTTATAGATGACAATCCCGAACATGAATTCGCAATATTTATTGACTCAAAAAGTGTGGTGCAAGCCCTGGGAATATACATTGGCAAGCATCCCATCATCAGCCAAATCCTTGCAGGACTTGTAAGCCTGGCTGAAGCAAGGAGAACAGTGAGCATCTGTTGGGTCCCTGGACACGTGGGAGTGCGGGGCAACAATTGGGCGGATGAACCGGCGGTGAGCGCTTCTTCGTCGGACGTGGCCATCTTCAGTGAGGAGGTCCCATGCCATGGGACCTTCCCCTCACAGGGGGTACACGGCCATGGGACCATGTACCCCCTCATCAGGACTAGCGTTTGTCATATATGGCGCAAGCTGTGGCTGAACGTGCGAGACAATAAACTGAGAACAATAGAGGACAGCGTATCAGCTTAGAGCTCGTTATACCTGAGATTCCGACAGACGGAACTGTGTTGACTAAGGATTGGTCATACACGTCTCACTCACAACTATCAAATTAAGTGCCGCCCTGTGCCCTACTGTGGAATTAGCCGTCGCTTTATGCCTTTATGTGAGGACTGCCTGGTGCCCCTGAAAGTACCTCATGTCCTAGCCATAGCGACATCCGCCAGATCTGCCATCCCAACACTTTAGCCCTTCATCATAACAAGATGTTCACCAGAATGCTAAGGGAGGACTCGCGTAGCAACTTCATAACTGACAATCTTAGACGATATTTGACATAGAAAGCAACCTACTACCAGTGTTCTAGCGTAGCTACATGAAGCTGAGGTTATGAAACCAGAGCGGACGCGCGCTCTGGTTACATTACCTCAGCTTTCACATTCATTACAGAATTACAGATTACAATTCATTACAGATGTCTCCTCCACATTCATTACCTCAGCTTGACAATATTAATTACATCAGTGAGTGTAATTATTCATAAATCTTAAAATAACCTTTTCTATTGGTGCTATTGCAAACATGATGTAGGTTGACATAGCTTAAATTTTGTCTCTGTACCAATCTATATACGCTGTCTAAAGAATCTTGTTCAAATATGTATTGATATAAACTTTTGAGGATCAATTGCATTGATGATATTTGCATAACTTCTCATTATCGGGTATCGGGATAATAAATTTATTATTGAGTAAAGACCACCAAATTTAATAAAGAAATAGGAAAATGCCATGCACCAAAAAAATCCCAAAAATCCACAAAAATCCCTTGAAAATCCCGAAAGAGTTAGCGCGTGTTCAGGCAGTCTTGCTCCGCGTCAGTAGGTTTGCCTCCATTGAGTGAGCTGATTAGGGTACGGCCTTAAGAAGACACTGCTCGAGCCGGAGAAACTGCCGAACAGAACATACGGCATAAGCTTTTAGAGTCCTTAAGAAGACATTGCTCGAGCCGGAGAAACTGCCGAACAG